CAGCCGCCCCCAGGGTAGCTGGTCCTGAGAGCCGGGCTGGCTCAGCTCAGACTCCAGTGTGATCGGTTGGGGACTAGCACCCAGCCCCCCCGAACCCTGCTCTGGCCTCTGCCCCCCGCCTCTGGGCAGCTCACGAGCCGTGTTCCCTTGAAGCCAGTCCCAGGGCCACCAGCTGCCACCCCCTGGTGTGGGGCCATCGTGGCCAGCCCTTTGGTGGGGCCTGGAGTAGGGCCAGGAAGGGATGGTAACTTGCAGGCCCCTGGTTGGCCAGGCCTCAGCCAGGCCAGCCACATGGTCCTCCAAGCCTGGCTTGTCTGGAAGGCTGCAGTGTGGGGCTGTGTGCGCAGCGCTGCCCCCTGCTGGTGTGGGGGAGTGAGTGTGTGGCTGTGTGCGCAGCGCTGCCCCCTGCTGGTGTGGGGGAGTGAGTGTGTGGCTGTGTTGGTGGTGTGGGGTGGGGGTGGGGGTGGGGCTGTGGGCACGGCCCTGCCCCCTGCTGGTGGGGGGGGTGAGTGTGTGGCTGTGTGCGCAGCGCTGCCCCCTGCTGGTGTGGGGGAGTGAGTGTGTGGCTGTGTGCGCAGCGCTGCCCCCTGCTGGAGGGGGTGTGAATTCACAGCTGTAGTAAGGGCTAGGAGGAGGGCCTGGCTGGCTCCGGGGCAGGGCAGTGGGGGGGGTGGCTGGGAGCTGGCCGAGGACACGTTGCCATAAGCCCTGCTTGCCGTTCCCTGCAGCGTTGGAGCTTTCTGAAGCATGAGGAGAGCCCCTCGCCAGTGACCGAACATGGCTGACAAGAGGAAATTGCAAGGTAGGGCGGCTCTCCCCTCCGGCTGCCCCCCACCCTTCTTGGGTGTGAAGTGGGCGCATGTGGCAGGGGGCAAAGAGAGAGGGGCTTCTTCCCCCTCCCTGTGTGTGTTCCCTGCCTTGTGAGAGCCGCAGTGGTGGGGATGCCTTAGAGCGGGGGGCCTGGGCACCAGGACTCCCGGGTTCTCTCCCTGGCCCCAAGGGGAGTGGGGTGTAGTGGTTGGAGCTGGGACTCCCGGGTTCTCTCCCTGGCCCCGAGGAGAGTGGTGTGTAGTGGTTGGAGCTGGGACTCCCGGGTTCTCTCCCTGGCCCCGAGGAGAGTGGTGTGTAGTGGTTGGAGCTGGGACTCCCGGGTTCTCTCCCTGGCCCCGAGGAGAGTGGTGTGTAGTGGTTGGAGCTGGGACTCCCGGGTTCTCTCCCTGGCCCCGAGGAGAGTGGTGTGTAGTGGTTGGAGCTGGGACTCCCGGGTTCTCTCCCTGGCCCCGAGGAGAGTGGTGTGTAGTGGTTGGAGCTGGGACTCCCGGGTTCTCTCCCTGGCCCCGAGGAGAGTGGTGTGTAGTGGTTGGAGCTGGGACTCCCGGGTTCTCTCCCTGGCCCCGAGGAGAGTGGTGTGTAGTGGTTGGAGCTGGGACTCCCGGGTTCTCTCCCTGGCCCCGAGGAGAGTGGTGTGTAGTGGTTGGAGCTGGGACTCCCGGGTTCTCTCCCTGGCCCCGAGGAGAGTGGTGTGTAGTGGTTGGAGCTGGGACTCCCGGGTTCTCTCCCTGGCCCCGAGGAGAGTGGTGTGTAGTGGTTGGAGCTGGGACTCCCGGGTTCTCTCCCTGGCCCCGAGGAGAGTGGTGTGTAGTGGTTGGAGCTGGGACTCCCAGGTTCTCTCCCTGGCCCCGAGGAGAGTGGTGTGTAGTGGTTGGAGCTGGGACTCCCGGGTTCTCTCCCTGGCCCCGAGGGGAGTGGTGTGTAGTGGTTGGAGCTGGGACTCCTGGGTTTTATTTGTGGTTCAGATCACTGTGACCACAGAGCTGTCCCTTCTCCCGCCCCCACGCTTCGTGCTGGGCTGAGGGGTGTCAGGGCAGTAATTGGGCCAGGCTGGGGCTGGGGCTGACTCCTGCCCCCTGCCCCCCCAGGTGAAATCGATCGGTGTCTGAAGAAGGTCTCCGAGGGGGTGGAGCAGTTTGAGGATATCTGGCAGAAGGTGAGAGCTCCCCCCTTTGACTTGCTCGCCCCCCCCCCCTTGGCTCGACCCCTTCCCCCTCCCCCCCCGGCTCCTGCTTCCCTGGCTCGGTCCCCCTCCCCATTCCCTCAGCTCAGTGCTCGCTGCCTGCCTGTCTTGTTCTCCCCCCCTGCATCCTCCGTCTGCTGCCCCACGCTCATCACCCTCCACCTCCCTCCCTGTCCCCATCGCCCCAGAATGGGCAGCCCCTCCCCCTTCTCGCTGTGGCTAGGGCAGCCCAGCCTGTCAGGCCTCAGCCCACCCTGGGGCACCTGGGCTCCCATAGACACCCCACCCCGACCCTACGTGGGCTCAGGCACCGCCAGCCTGCCAAGCGCTCTCTGCCCCCCGCCCGTCTCTCGCCCGCAGCTCCACAATGCGGCCAACGCCAACCAGAAGGAGAAGTACGAAGCTGACCTGAAGAAGGAGATCAAGAAGCTCCAGGTGGGTCCCGCGCGGCGGCTGGCTGGAGCCTCTGGGGGGGCTGAGTCAGGGGCCACCCACCCCTGAGAGACAGTCCCTGGAGCCCTGCCTGCGCTCACCACTGCACCTCACTCCCCTCCCCAGCCACAGGGAGAGACCCCAGGAGGGCTAGCGCCCCACCTCCTGTTCTAACCGCTAGGCCCCCCCGCCTTCTCCCAGCTTGGGGCTCCCTGGCCTGCCTTTCTGCCCCCCCTCTCTGTCTCCAGTGAGATCCGTGTGCTCCCTGGTACATCGGAGTCTCACCCCGCCTGGCAGGGGGCCGCCTCGCTATGGGGTGAACTTTCCAGGAGCCGGACGTCCCCGCTCCCTCCCCCATGTCTGTGCCGGGTCCAAGTCAAGCGAGGAGAGGGGCGGGCGCTAAGGGCCTGTGTCTCTCTTCCCCCCCTCCCCCCCGTCCACCCCTCCCTTCTCTCCACCCCATCTCCGCAGAGGCTGAGGGACCAGATCAAGACGTGGGTGGCTTCGAACGAGATCAAGGACAAGAGGCAGCTGCTCGACAACCGGAAACTCATTGAGACGGTAGGAGGCTGCTGTGGTAATGGTCAGGCTGCAGTGGGGCTGCCTGTCGGGGTCAGGAGGGAAGTTTTCCCTCCACTCCAGGGCTGCAACCGGTGGGTTTTTGAGCAGCTGAGCTGGTCCCAAGAGCTGCCTGCTGGGTGTTTCTTGCTCGCTTGCAAGAACGTGTCAGATTTGGGGGTGGAGAGCGTCTCCCTCCAGCGTACGGGGCAGAGACCCGGGGAATTTTCTGGCCCCTCCTGCCCAGCCTTGGGCAAGTCTCCAGCTGTGTGGATC